TAAATGTATATGTTAGCCTATAAATCCTGGCCAAAGCCATTTGGTATTCACAAAGAGGTCTTCCTGCACCTATGTCCCATGTTGTGATCTGTTAGGTGTATGCTGAATACACTTAACAGAGAAGGAGGTCCCACCTAAGAGCTTTTTTGCCTAAAATCTTAGATGGCCTATACACACATGTGGATGCTGCTCTGACTCCCTGGAATTCCAGCGTGGCAGTTGCCAGACCCCAGCAGCCTCCTGCATCTCACGTATCAGCATCTCCACACTTAAAAATGTTGGTGGGGGTCTTGAACTAAAGCTCATTGAATGAGTTTTAGTTCAAGTACCCCTGCCACTATTTTTAATCATGGGGATGCTGATACTGGAGACAAAGTGACACTTTAATTATAGCAGCTCTTGGAGCCACTCTAATTAAAGCACCCCCTTCACCCCCACATCTAGAACATGTGTAAAAGTGCCCTTAGTGGTTATGAACCCCTCCCTCCCATCATGTGATGCCCATTGGTGGTCAGCCCTGCCTTCTGTGTTGTTCAGTCTCCCTAACCTCCTGTCTCTCTCCTGCCACACCTTTGATGTTAAGAATGATATACTTGGGAGACTGACTCTAGAGGCTGGCATAGCTCCCATGCTGCCTTTCTTAGCAGAGCCCTTGGGGCTTCTCTGCTCCCAAACTCAGTCTCTCAGGCCTCCAGCTCCTAGTTCCCCTTTTTCTTGGTGGGGATTTCACCCTATTGTCCCTAAACTGGGCCTTCTGGTCCTTACTGTGCCTTAGGGGCTCTAATCATGGCCCCTAGCTGCTTCTATAGCTATTCCTGTGCCTCATAGGTATTATTCTGGTTCCTGTAAAGGGCCCTCTGGCCCTGCTTTCACCTCCACTTGCAAAGTCCTTTGGGCCTCTGGTCCTAGCAGGACTGCTTCAGCACACTAGGTCCCTGACCCTGTTAAGGCTGCTGCCTTTCTGATCACCCAGCCTCCAGACCCCTGGACCTGGCACAACTGTTTCAGCTTCCCCAGGTCTGATTCTCTGACTCTGGCAAAACTACTGCCTCTAAACTACTGGTTTCCACCCACTCATCTCTCCAGGACCTGGTTCAGAAGAGCTCTCTACATTGTGTGCCCAATAAACACCCCTTCTGTAGCCTCCAAACTATAAAACATCAATCATCCCATTTCAAACTCAAACACAAACCCCACCTTGGGCCTGTAATCACTATAAAACCACTACTTCATGGAGCTGGTTCACTCCCCAGCCTCTAGGGTACCTCTCTGTGCCCAGTGGTTCCGTTCTTGCAGCTGGTGTCATCCAGAGCTCCTCTCCCTGCATAATGTAGGGCTAGACTGCCTGCTCCAGCACAAAAACTGGGCTTACATTAATCTAAGCCCCACCCTTTCTGGTCACCCACTCAGTATTAGTAAATATTCCCTTGGGGCTTTTCAGCCCATTAATCGACTGGTCCCACTGCTCTGCAGTCTTATGCAGCTGCTCTGCAGTCTTAGGGCTTCTGGTTTTGTGTTTCTCTTGCACTTGCTGATACAGAATTTTGCCTCTGCAGGCTGCAAAAGTTCAGACTTCACAGGGCATGTCTACACAAGGCATCTTCTAGCTCAGTGGGCTGTTCTACTGCACATCAGCACATCACAGCAAAAACTGTGCTGATGCACAGTAGAATTAGCCTACTGTGCATTAAGCATCACAAAAAATTTCACCTTTGCTACTGCACATTAGTGCAGCTATTGTGCCTTTATCTAGTTCCTCATATTAGAGCTACATCCTACCCTTACCACTTCCCAGATGTTAACTCAGTTTCTTCTTATGGGGACTGACCCCTTGCAGCCAATTTGGGTCTTCCCTAGGTTCCTGGGATTTGGGTCAGGCCCAATTAATTGACTCGTTGACAGTCAATCAGTGGGCCAGGGCTATTCTACACTGCCGTTCACACAGGGCTTATGTGCTTTCATTAATGGACTACTAGCCTTCCAAAGTAAAGCAACTCAAGTCAGTCTATCTGACTTGCCAATCATATCACCAAGGTACACAAGCCAATGTCCCTTCTCACATTCAGGGTTGCCACCCTATACAAACTCCTTAGCCGATTCAAACAGGTGAGTTCATTCCAATCCGCCCCTTCATCCTGGGGTTGATCCTCCCTCTGCCAGGGCACTTTAATGGTCTAAAACTGAACCAAAAAAAAAAGAATGAACTTAACTCTTCTCTTTCATTTGGGCTTAATCCTCTTTTCCCCTTTTATCAATTCATTTAAGGATCCTCAACTCATACTGAGGCAAAATTAACTTAAGCCTTTTCTAGTTCTTTAATCAGGGATAATTGCTCATCATCAGTTTACTCTGTCAGTTCTGCACTGGCAGAATCAATTTTAGCCATAGGGCTCTTTAGCCTGCAAAAGCGCAGGCTCAGGGGTGATCTGATGGCCACCTATAAGTTTATCAGGGGTGACCACCAGTATTTGGGGGAACGTTTGTTAACCAGAGCGCCCCAAGGGATGACGAGGTCAAATGGTCATAAACTACTAGAAGACCATTTCAGGCTTGACATAAGGAAGAATTTCTTTACTGTCTGAGCCCCCAAGGTCTGGAACAGCCTGCCATCAGAGTTGGTTCAAACACCTACATTGAACACCTTGAAGAGCAAATTGAATGCTTATCTTGGTGGGATCCTATGACCCCAGCTGACTTCCTGCCCTTTGGGCAGGGGACTGGACTCGATGATCTTCCGAGGTCCCTTCCAGCCCTAATGTCTATGAAATCTATCAAATCTATGAGTTGCCACATTCCCAGCAGGCTGGGGTCCCCACCCTTCTGCTGTATCCTCAGGTACCTACTTTGCCTAGAGCTTCACTTCTGTACCTGCCAAGCTGGCCCAGCCATCTGTTGGAATCTCAGTGTTCATGTGTGATCCTTCAACCACTTGTGCCTGTTGCTGCACGCTCTTCTCCTGCAGGTAGCTGCAGATGGGAGCCAACCAGAGAGTCCTTCAGTGTCTTCACCTCAGCGATGCCACCATCTGTCCACAGCTGCCCATCTCCAGGGCTGGAAGCATTGTCTTGAGCTCCCTGGTCACTCCAAAATTGTGGTGCAGTACTCTGGGCTCTGGCTATGCTCCTTCTCCCACCTGGTTAAATCACTCCCAGGAGAGCTGCCTCCAGGTGAGCAAATGTCTGTACAAGCTGTGGCTTCTCTCATAGTCCTCCAGACAGAATATAGTCCTCCAGCATTTCCCCCCACGCTTCCTAGAGAGACCGTGTGTCACTCTCTGGACTCTGATGTGCTAGAAGGATGCAGAACACACCCCTTTTGCAATCCCCACATTGTGCTGAAGGGAAACAAAAGCTGACCATGGACAGTCTGGGTCAGCCAATCAGGGATGCTTTATACACTGCTGCCATCTGTTGCCAGGCAGACTAAGGAAGCCTGAAGAACATGCTGAGATGTGTGCATAGAATGCTCCCTCCCTTCTCCTCTCACCTAGCTGCACAGTGTCATCACTGCAAGCTCTCCATTCTTCAGGACATCAAAATTCAAATGTCTGTACATGTGGCTCTAGGTAAGTTTCTTTACCAGGAGAACAGACCTAGAAAAATTATCCCAGTTTATTTGAATGTTTGTAGTCAGCCTAGGTGTAAAAAAGGTTTGGGACTGGGAATTCCAGTATCTAACTTAGATGGATATAAATCTACATTTGGTTGTAGATTTTCTCATTGGCTGGAGTGAATCCAAAATCTTGACATGGGGATTTTGAGTTTTTCCATTGCTAAGACTCACTGTGGAGCTACACTAACTATTTATCTTCAGCTGCACACTATCTAAAACATGATATCCTTGTTTCTGTTGTGCAGATTTAGCAAACACTTCTCATTTTTGATGTGTCCAAGCATCCTTTGCCCTTTGAAACACAACAGGAGGCAGTATAAAGCAAGAGAACATGAGGTTACCCTGAGAGGTTATGGAATATCCATCCTTGGAGGTTTTTAAGACCCAGCTAGGCAAAGCCTTGGCTGGGATGATATAGTTGGGGATAATTCTGCTTTGAGCAGGGTGTTGGATTAGATGACCTCCTGAGGTCCCTTTCCTAATTTTCTATGATCCTATGATTCTATAAAGGAAGCTGAAGAACATTTTGGACATATAATTGCCCTTTTCAGTATAGAAATTGCCTTTTTCAAAATAGTAGCCCTTTTCAATAATAGAAATGCACTCTTCAAGGAAGATAAGATGCAAAAAATTAGGGAACTTAATATGCTTACAAGAAAAGGAAAGTAGAGAACCATGAGAAGGTGGTCACTAGTGTTCTTGAGGCTGGAACTCCTAAAAGACAGGATTTCTAAACTAGAACAGACTTTTATCATTTAGCTATTAACACACATCAGGAGGAGGTATAGAGTTACCATACATACCTGCATGTGATGCCAAGGCTTTTTATGGGCTGAATTAAGTTTTGGAGAAGTCTGGAGAAGGAGACAGGGCTATATCCTCTTTCTGACCACTTTCCAACATTCTTGATCCACCTTTTTCCGACCCTCATGGGAGCAATGTGAGTCTCTGAAGAGGCACATACAATGTAGTCCCTGTGCCGGTGATTCTGGAGGATTGTAGTGAGGGATCCTTTTGTGCTCCCTCTTACCCACACAACCACATATTAACTAGGGGGGAAATTGGGTCATAACACAATTAATTGAATTAGCTAATTAAGAAAACAGCATAATCTTAAGATCCTTTCCTTCCTATTTCTGCCACATTTCTGTGTTTTTCTCTCTTTTTTGCTTGTTTGTTCTGCTTTGCTTTAGTCTCTGCTGTAGTCATATCTGCTTTTTGTGGAAATCTTATTAGAAAGATTATTGAATGGCCACTGATGTAAAAACCCTTATCCAACATTTGATCCTTGGGAAAACTCCACTTATTTCAATGAACATTTATTGCCACAGAGCAGTGACAGAACAGATAACATGAAGAGAGTTCCAACTCCCTGAGCCTATCCATAAAACTAGAATGGTTTATTTTTAACTGAATATGAAACTTCATTTAAAACTAATTCTGTTTGCACTACTTGGCACTCAGTGGAGTTTGTGGTTCACATAGATTCATTACATTAAAGCTGAAGCAGAGTATAGCGAGTGACAGCTGAGTTTCCTCCCTCTAGGCTAGCCACATAGGCCATATCTATACTGCCTCTCTGCCAGTTCTGGGGATTGTTACCTCTCAGCTCCATGTTCTTGGGGAACCCTGACACAGGATGCAGACTGTCTGACTCACAAAGAATCCCCTCTCTCCCCTCCTGTACCTAAACAGAAACTGATTAAGATGCAGTGAGAGACACACCTAAAACCCTCCAGATAAGGGTGATAAGAGTGAAACAAATGCCCTAGGTCTCATTTGCATCTGAGATGGAACCAGATGACCATTCATTTACATGAGAGACGGAGAACAGAAAGCCTGAAGCAGAGACTGCAGTGAATTCTGGGATCAGCGAAGCAGGGGAGCACTGCATGATGGGGAATCTGTGCTTCAAATGCTAATCAAGCCACATTTACACACACCCAGCTCAGCATTTATCAGACCAGTTCTAATCTGGACTTACAAAGGACTTCCCCCCCCCAACACACATACACATGCACCTATAAGCAGAAGTAAGTTTAATAGGCATCTTGAGCTGTACATTCCCCGGTCCCACTATGGGAGGCCTATTTAAACTTAATTGGCTAAAACTCGGTTGCAGGGTTAGGGAATGCTGAGGCAAGACACCGAGTCAGTGGGGGTATGGGCAACATATGAATTATGGTAAAGGGTTCATCACAGCGTCCAGCCTGTTAGAGCCCTGACCACAAGTGTTGTCATACTTTTTCTGGGATGACCGGTGGAAGTCCTCCCCTCCCAAAGGTTATGAACACTCCCATAATTGCCTTAAGTCTGTTAAAAGACTATAGTAAGATCTGGAAAAGTCATGCTAAGCTGAGGCTTGTTCACAACAAGTAAAAATCCAAAACCCTGATGCTGCAA